TTCTTTATCCGTACCGAAAGTTTAGGTAGTCCGTTAGAAGGGATTTTTTCAAACTGATGAGACATTTGGTTTGCCTCATTTGGAATGTTGAGTATTTGGGGAGGCTTTCTGTTGTGTATGATTAACTCATGAAGTTTATGCTGTACTTCTAGTGGGACAGACACGCTAATACAGAGCATCTCACGAAAGTTTATTAGTTCTAGGTCACAACATTTCGTTGATTCAATTGAGGCTATTAGTCTAGCTCTTTAATTGTCTTGTATTGACCTCATTTCAGTAGCAAGAAGCTTTGAGATGTACATTTATGTGTTGTTCAAACCTTTAATTGATTCCTCCGAATACCCTTGTTTATATAATAATGTTTGCAGCATATATCCTAGGCTAATAACATGATTTCGGCATAATTTCTAGCCACACAGACTGACCAAGTCGTTGTTCTGTGATGGTTTTCGATGACTTAGTCATTTGGGAATAAGTTTCGTATTCCTGATCATCTCTGTATAGATTTTTTCTAGGATTACCGTTGCATTTCGTTTGTAAGTGTGGGTATTTACCACAGAATCATACACAACAGAAAGCCTCCCCAAATACTCAACATTCCAAATGAGGCAAACCAAATGTCTCATCAGTTTGAAAAAATCCCTTCTAACGGACCACCTAAACTTTCGGTACGGATAAAGAAAATCTCTTTTTCAAACCAACACCAAGCATAACAAGTATACTTACCTCATAATTATGAGCCACAGTTTCTTCGAAAGCCTTCAATTGTTCCGTCAACTGAGCTGAGCTACACGTTTCTCATTAAGCTCTTCAGTCAATAAAGCAACTTCCACGTCTTCTGTTTCAGAATCATCAATTCGACAGGATGACAATATGGAACTGTCCTTAACATTTGAGATCGTTGGTGGCTTTCATCTCTTCTTTCACCTGCACTTTTCTTGATAATGTCACATTCAATTTTAACATATTCTGTGTAATTGTCGAAACGGATTTAATTCACATATATGTTGCACAATTCAAGGAATTACATAACAAGAAAGCAAAATAATTACCATTCCAATAATCTCGTCAAAAATGTTCATTCCAGCATTTTTATTTAGCCGAAGTCAATAGGTGAGTAATAAACGTTTTTGACGAGATTATTGGAATGGTAATTATTTTGCTTTCTTGTTATGTAATTCCTTGAATTGTGCAACATATATGTGAATTAAATCCGTTTCGACAATTACACAGAATATGTTAAAATTGAATGTGACATTATCAAGAAAAGTGCAGGTGAAAGAAGAGATGAAGGCTGATTATCTTGATACAATTGCACGCCTTGAATCTGTTATTGCTCAGCTTCAGGAAGAAAAGCCACCAACGATCTCAAATGTTAAGGACAGTTCCATATTGTCATCCTGTCGAATTGATGATTCTGATATGATATGACCTATGCACCCTCTACCTGGTCTAAAGCCTGCTTGATTTTCCCTTGTCTGTTCCTCCCGAGTTCTGCTTAGTCTATGCATGATTACTGAGCCTAGGATTTTAGAGACTATGTTCGTTAGGCTGATCCCCCTATGATTATCACACGAGGACTTGTTTCCCTTCTTGAATATCGGTATAATAAGTGACTTACCCCAGTCTGATGGTACTGTCTCTGATTCCCAGACTTTGCCTAGTACCTCAGTTAATCTACAAACTAGTATGTCACCCCCATATTTAAACACCTCCGGAATAATTCCGTCGGGTCCTGCCGCTTTGCCTCGTTTCAAATTACTGATAGCTTTTGTAACCTCACCTACAGACGGCGGACCAGTGTCTATATCCCATTCGGGTACGTGGTGGATGGCGGGGAGGTTCAGTGTGGCTGTAGGCAAGTTAAATTGTTCCTCAAAGTGTTCTTTCCAGCGTTCAAGGCGTCTATCCTGAGAGCTAATTAAGGAGCCATTTTTCTCAGAAATAGTCTCACTTATGAATTGCCTTTTCCCGCCCGATTCTGTGATGAGTCTAAAGAGTTGCCTAGTGTTGCCTATCGCCAATGCTTTTTCCATCTCTTTCGCCTTTGTCACCCACCACTGTTCACGGTCCTTGCGGAGACTTTTAGTAAGTTTCCTTTTGTGCAGCTTTCGCTCCTCATTGAATTCGGAGCTCGCCGGAATAAGTCTTCTAGCATCTATCAGTTCGGATGAGGCAGTCGAAATCCAGTGGTTTTTACTCACCTTTGGATTTGTCTTATTCACAGCTTTTACAGCTGTATCTATAGCTGACTGAATATTCTTCCAGGCTTCTCCAGGGTGAGCACAGCTGTCGGATTCAGATATGCGTTTAGCTAGTTCTTCCTCAAATAGGGATTTAGTTTCCTGATCGAGCTGGGGGTGTAATGGTTTTACCGCCAGCTGTTTCCTACGTCCGTTCAGTCGTAAGCACACACGAGCCCGGACCAGTGCGTGATCGGTATCTACACACGTGTTCCAGAAGGAGCGACAATCTCCTACCGACCCACGCCAACGATAGCTTATTGCTATGTGGTCTATTTGTGTCCAGCGTTGGTTTGATGATGGGGGTCGCCAGGTTAAACAGTGTCTCTCCTTGTGTTTAAAGTTAGTGCTTACAAGAAACAAATGATTATCTGAACAGAACTGTAGGAGACGGTCACCGTTGTCGGTTCGCTGGTACGGAACTCCATAGGTGCCACCGACATCCTTCTCAGATTGACACAATTTCCCTACTTGAGCGTTGAAGTCACCAGCTAGAACGACTATATCTGAGCGTTTAGCCTTTCTCACCAAACTAGACAGCTTTTGGTAGAACTCATCCTTCGTTTCATCCGAACTGCAGTCAGTGGGGGCGTAGGCGGAGATTACGAAAAGGCATCGGCGAGTAGTGCAGTCCTTTCTCCTTCTTACTGATCCGTTCAGACGGACAGCACACATTCGGCTATCTACTGGGATCCAGTCAAGCAATGTCTTTTCTGCCCTAGTACTCAGAGCTATCCCTACGCCAGCTAATCCCCGTGAACTAGCTGTGGCATCTCCTGACACCCTCAAGGTGAATTTTGAAGATTCATCCTGTTGGCCAGGTGGGGTTAGGTGAATAACCACACTTGGGTCTTGTATGCGTGTTTCTGAAACACAACATACATCAATGGCTCGAGATGCCAGGGTCTTAGCTAGTGATGCTTGTTGTCCTATTTGGCAAAGTGTCCTAACATTAAATGCTCCTATATGAAATTGGTGGCGTGGCTTTAGGAGACTATCCGTGGTGGTTTTTTGGCTTTCGTCGTTTTTAGTGGACACAGAGTGAAGAGGGAGTGAGGAGCCATCAAGTAGAGGAGTTGCATCACTGGGGGAAGGTAAGGTAATAGAGATGAAGATGAAGACAAAGATAAGTGAGGATTAGAGAGGTTTTGTGTGCGTTTTGGATTGTGAGGGCGATTGTTACTTCCCGGCTGCCCACACCGTGGAAGTTGGTTGCGTGACCGCAGAGCCCAGGGGACAACTGCTTGTGGCCGGTCACACGCGGCCTGTTTTTGTTCGTTCTTTGTTGTTTTGTGTGCCTCAGTAGCATACTTATCACTCCCGCCCTGTGACACGGCAGCAGGAAGCGCGGTCGTTGTTAATCCGGGCCACGGCCGATCCGGCATGAAATTTTGTGAATTTGTTTGGATCATGGTATTGGATGAGGTAGCTGCTTTTTGTTTAACCGCTATCCAAACAACCTGCCTGGCATGGTAGAACCTCAAGAGACATAAGTCTCAGCCAGTATAGCTTGATTAGGTCATTGCGGTGTTCAAGCCCGACCACCACGTCAAGGTAGCAGCTTTCGGTCGAGCATGTAATCCCTTCAATTGTGCAACATATATGTGAATTAAATCCGTTTCGACAATTACACAGAATATGTAAAAATTGAATGTGACATTATCAAGAAAAGTGCAGGTGAAAGAAGAGATGAAGGCTGATTATCTTGATACAATTGCACGCCTTGAATCTGTTATTGCTCAGCTTCAGGAAGAAAAGCCACCAACGATCTCAAATGTTAAGGAAAGTTCCATATTGTCATCCTGTCGAATTGATGATTCTGAAACAGAAGACGTGGAAGTTGCTTTATTGACTGAAGAGCTTAATGAGAAACGTGTAGCTCAGCTCAGTTGACGGAACAACTGAAGGCTTTCGAAGAAACTGTGGCTCATAATTATGAGGTAAGTATACTTGTTATGCTTGGTGTTGGTTTGAAAAAGAGATTTTCTTTATCCGTACCGAAAGTTTAGGTGGTCCGTTAGAAGGGATTTTTTCAAACTGATGAGACATTTGGTTTGCCTCATTTGGAATGTTGAGTATTTGGGGAGGCTTTCTGTTGTGTATGATTAACTCATGAAGTTTATGCTGTACTTCTAGTGGGACAGACACGCTAATACAGAGCATCTCACGAAAGTTTATTAGTTCTAGGTCACAACATTTCGTTGATTCAATTGAGGCTATTGGTCTAGCTCTTTAATTGTCTTGTATTGACCTCATTTCAGTAGCAAGAAGCTTTGAGATGTACATTTATGTGTTGTTCAAACCTTTAATTGATTCCTCCGAATACCCTTGTTTATATAATAATGTTTGCAGCATGTATCCTAGGCTAATAACATGATTTCGGCATAATTTCTAGCCACACAGACTGACCAAGTCGTTGTTCTGTGATGGTTTTCGATGACTTAGTCATTTGGGAATAAGTTTCGTATTCCTGATCATCTCTGTATAGATTTTTTCTAGGATTACCGTTGCATTTCGTTTGTAAGTGTGGGTATTTACCACAGAATCATACACAACAGAAAGCCTCCCCAAATACTCAACATTCCAAATGAGGCAAACCAAATGTCTCATCAGTTTGAAAAAATCCCTTCTAACGGACCACCTAAACTTTCGGTACGGATAAAGAAAATCTCTTTTTCAAACCAACACCAAGCATAACAAGTATACTTACCTCATAATTATGAGCCACAGTTTCTTCGAAAGCCTTCAGTTGTTCCATCAACTGAGCTGAGCTACACGTTTCTCATTAAGCTCTTCAGTCAATAAAGCAACTTCCACGTCTTCTGTTTCAGAATCATCAATTCGACAGGATGACAATATGGAACTGTCCTTAACATTTGAGATCGTTGGTGGCTTTTCTTCCTGAAGCTGAGCAATAACAGATTCAAGGCGTGCAATTGTATCAAGATAATCAGCCTTCATCTCTTCTTTCACCTGCACTTTTCTTGATAATGTCACATTCAATTTTAACATATTCTGTGTAATTGTCGAAACGGATTTAATTCACATATATGTTGCACAATTCAAGGAATTGCATAACAAGAAAGCAAAATAATTACCATTCCAATAATCTCGTCAAAAAAGTTCATTACTCACCTATTGACTTCGGCTAAATAAAAATGCTGGAATGAACATTTTTGACGAGATTATTGGAATGGTAATTATTTTGCTTTCTTGTTATGCAATTCCTTGAATTGTGCAACATATATGTGAATTAAATCCGTTTCGACAATTACACAGAATATGTTAAAATTGAATGTGACATTATCAAGAAAAGTGCAGGTGAAAGAAGAGATGAAGGCTGATTATCTTGATACAATTGCACGCCTTGAATCTGTTATTGCTCAGCTTCAGGAAGAAAAGCCACCAACGATCTCAAATGTTAAGGACAGTTCCATATTGTCATCCTGTCGAATTGATGATTCTGAAACAGAAGACGTGGAAGTTGCTTTATTGACTGAAGAGCTTAATGAGAAACGTGTAGCTCAGCTCAGTTGACGGAACAATTGAAGGCTTTCGAAGAAACTGTGGCTCATAATTATGAGGTAAGTATACTTGTTATGCTTGGTGTTGGTTTGAAAAAGAGATTTTCTTTATCCGTACCGAAAGTTTAGGTAGTCCGTTAGAAGGGATTTTTTCAAACTGATGAGACATTTGGTTTGCCTCATTTGGAATGTTGAGTATTTGGGGAGGCTTTCTGTTGTGTATGATTAACTCATGAAGTTTATGCTGTACTTCTAGTGGGACAGACACGCTAATACAGAGCATCTCACGAAAGTTTATTAGTTCTAGGTCACAACATTTCGTTGATTCAATTGAGGCTATTGGTCTAGCTCTTTAATTGTCTTGTATTGACCTCATTTCAGTAGCAAGAAGCTTTGAGATGTACATTTATGTGTTGTTCAAACCTTTAATTGATTCCTCCGAATACCCTTGTTTATATAATAATGTTTGCAGCATATATCCTAGGCTAATAACATGATTTCGGCATAATTTCTAGCCACACAGACTGACCAAGTCGTTGTTCTGTGATGGTTTTCGATGACTTAGTCATTTGGGAATAAGTTTCGTATTCCTGATCATCTCTGTATAGATTTTTTCTAGGATTACCGTTGCATTTCGTTTGTAAGTGTGGGTATTTACCACAGAATCATACACAACAGAAAGCCTCCCCAAATACTCAACATTCCAAATGAGGCAAACCAAATGTCTCATCAGTTTGAAAAAATCCCTTCTAACGGACCACCTAAACTTTCGGTACGGATAAAGAAAATCTCTTTTTCAAACCAACACCAAGCATAACAAGTATACTTACCTCATAATTATGAGCCACAGTTTCTTCGAAAGCCTTCAATTGTTCCGTCAACTGAGCTGAGCTACACGTTTCTCATTAAGCTCTTCAGTCAATAAAGCAACTTCCACGTCTTCTGTTTCAGAATCATCAATTCGACAGGATGACAATATGGAACTGTCCTTAACATTTGAGATCGTTGGTGGCTTTTCTTCCTGAAGCTGAGCAATAACAGATTCAAGGCGTGCAATTGTATCAAGATAATCAGCCTTCATCTCTTCTTTCACCTGCACTTTTCTTGATAATGTCACATTCAATTTTAACATATTCTGTGTAATTGTCGAAACGGATTTAATTCACATATATGTTGCACAATTCAAGGAATTACATAACAAGAAAGCAAAATAATTACCATTCCAATAATCTCGTCAAAAACGTTTATTACTCACCTATTGACTTCGGCTAAATAAAAATGCTGGAATGAACATTTTTGACGAGATTATTGGAATGGTAATTATTTTGCTTTCTTGTTATGTAATTCCTTGAATTGTGCAACATATATGTGAATTAAATCCGTTTCGACAATTACACAGAATATGTTAAAATTGAATGTGACATTATCAAGAAAAGTGCAGGTGAAAGAAGAGATGAAAGCCACCAACGATCTCAAATGTTAAGGACAGTTCCATATTGTCATCCTGTCGAATTGATGATTCTGAAACAGAAGACATGGAAGTTGCTTTATTGACTGAAGAGCTTAATGAGAAACGTGTAGCTCAGCTCAGTTGACGGAACAACTGAAGGCTTTCGAAGAAACTGTGGCTCATAATTATTAGGTAAGTATACTTGTTATGCTTGGTGTTGGTTTGAAAAAGAGATTTTCTTTATCCGTACCGAAAGTTTAGGTGGTCCGTTAGAAGGGATTTTTTCAAACTGATGAGACATTTGGTTTGCCTCATTTGGAATGTTGAGTATTTGGGGAGGCTTTCTGTTGTGTATGATTAACTCATGAAGTTTATGCTGTACTTCTAGTGGGACAGACACGCTAATACAGAGCATCTCACGAAAGTTTATTAGTTCTAGGTCACAACATTTCGTTGATTCAATTGAGGCTATTAGTCTAGCTCTTTAATTGTATTGTATTGACCTCATTTCAGTATCAAGAAGCTTTGAGATGTACATTTATGTGTTGTTCAAACCTTTAATTGATTCCTCCGAATACCCTTGTTTATATAATAATGTTTGCAGCATATATCCTAGGCTAATAACATGATTTCGGCATAATTTCTAGCCACACAGACTGACCAAGTCGTTGTTCTGTGATGGTTTTCGATGACTTAGTCATTTGGGAATAAGTTTCGTATTCCTGATCATCTCTGTATAGATTTTTTCTAGGATTACCGTTGCATTTCGTTTGTAAGTGTGGGTATTTACCACAGAATCATACACAACAGAAAGCCTCCCCAAATACTCAACATTCCAAATGAGGCAAACCAAATGTCTCATCAGTTTGAAAAAATCCCTTCTAACGGACTACCTAAACTTTCGGTACGGATTAAGAAAATCTCTTTTTCAAACCAACACCAAGCATAACAAGTATACTTACCTCATAATTATGAGCCACAGTTTCTTCGAAAGCCTTCAGTTGTTCCATCAACTGAGCTGAGCTACACGTTTCTCATTAAGCTCTTCAGTCAATAAAGCAACTTCCACGTCTTCTGTTTCAGAATCATCAATTCGACAGGATGACAATATGGAACTGTCCTTAACATTTGAGATCGTTGGTGGCTTTTCTTCCTGAAGCTGAGCAATAACAGATTCAAGGCGTGCAATTGTATCAAGATAATCAGCCTTCATCTCTTCTTTCACCTGCACTTTTCTTGATAATGTCACATTCAATTTTAACATATTCTGTGTAATTGTCGAAACGGATTTAATTCACATATATGTTGCACAATTCAAGGAATTGCATAACAAGAAAGCAAAATAATTACCATTCCAATAATCTCGTCAAAAAAGTTCATTACTCACCTATTGACTTCGGCTAAATAAAAATGCTGGAATGAACATTTTTGACGAGATTATTGGAATGGTAATTATTTTGCTTTCTTGTTATGCAATTCCTTGAATTGTGCAACATATATGTGAATTAAATCCGTTTCGACAATTACACAGAATATGTTAAAATTGAATGTGACATTATCAAGAAAAGTGCAGGTGAAAGAAGAGATGAAGGCTGATTATCTTGATACAATTGCACGCCTTGAATCTGTTATTGCTCAGCTTCAGGAAGAAAAGCCACCAACGATCTCAAATGTTAAGGACAGTTCCATATTGTCATCCTGTCGAATTGATGATTCTGAAACAGAAGACATGGAAGTTGCTTTATTGACTGAAGAGCTTAATGAGAAACGTGTAGCTCAGCTCAGTTGACGGAACAATTGAAGGCTTTCGAAGAAACTGTGGCTCATAATTATGAGGTAAGTATACTTGTTATGCTTGGTGTTGGTTTGAAAAAGAGATTTTCTTTATCCGTACCGAAAGTTTAGGTAGTCCGTTAGAAGGGATTTTTTCAAACTGATGAGACATTTGGTTTGCCTCATTTGGAATGTTGAGTATTTGGGGAGGCTTTCTGTTGTGTATGATTAACTCATGAAGTTTATGCTGTACTTCTAGTGGGACAGACACGCTAATACAGAGCATCTCACGAAAGTTTATTAGTTCTAGGTCACAACATTTCGTTGATTCAATTGAGGCTATTAGTCTAGCTCTTTAATTGTCTTGTATTGACCTCATTTCAGTATCAAGAAGCTTTGAGATGTACATTTATGTGTTGTTCAAACCTTTAATTGATTCCTCCGAATACCCTTGTTTATATAATAATGTTTGCAGCATGTATCCTAGGCTAATAACATGATTTCGGCATAATTTCTAGCCACACAGACTGACCAAGTCGTTGTTCTGTGATGGTTTTCGATGACTTAGTCATTTGGGAATAAGTTTCGTATTCCTGATCATCTCTGTATAGATTTTTTCTAGGATTACCGTTGCATTTCGTTTGTAAGTGTGGGTATTTACCACAGAATCATACACAACAGAAAGCCTCCCCAAATACTCAACATTCCAAATGAGGCAAACCAAATGTCTCATCAGTTTGAAAAAATCCCTTCTAACGGACCACCTAAACTTTCGGTACGGATAAAGAAAATCTCTTTTTCAAACCAACACCAAGCATAACAAGTATACTTACCTCATAATTATGAGCCACAGTTTCTTCGAAAGCCTTCAATTGTTCCGTCAACTGAGCTGAGCTACACGTTTCTCATTAAGCTCTTCAGTCAATAAAGCAACTTCCACGTCTTCTGTTTCAGAATCATCAATTCGACAGGATGACAATATGGAACTGTCCTTAACATTTGAGATCGTTGGTGGCTTTTCTTCCTGAAGCTGAGCAATAACAGATTCAAGGCGTGCAATTGTATCAAGATAATCAGCCTTCATCTCTTCTTTCACCTGCACTTTTCTTGATAATGTCACATTCAATTTTAACATATTCTGTGTAATTGTCGAAACGGATTTAATTCACATATATGTTGCACAATTCAAGGAATTACATAACAAGAAAGCAAAATAATTACCATTCCAATAATCTCGTCAAAAACGTTTATTACTCAGCTATTGA